TGGATGTTAAAATCAGCACTAACCTTTTTTTTTTCATTTTATTTTTAAGTTATAATTTATCAATTACTTAATAAATAATATTAATACTCAAAATAATTACAATAATTTTATTACTATTGGTTCCTGCAAAGCCTCACACTTTGAAGATCAAAGTTGATGGTGACAATAAATAAAATATTTGAAAGCTAGTAAACATGATGAAACACTACAGCTATGACAACTCTATAATTTTGAATCCTTAGCATTTTCTTTCTAGAAAAACATTTTTAAATTTAAAAGTTAAATTAATTAATAATTAATTGTATTTTTAATACAACATATGCCTGTAATTTTACAGTGAATAGACAAGATACAAAAACTATAATTTATATATACTTTATATATTCATTATACAATATATAAATTATACAATGGCACTCGCTCACTTTCTCTCACACACACCAAAAGCTGTCAGACAAGACAGGGTTAATTTTGCCTTATTGCATTACATTTTAAATATGCATTTAGAGCAACAATCTAGAACAGGGATCCCCAACCCCCAACCCCAAAACGGTTTTGTCCAGACCACAAAGCTTTTTCTTATTTACTATATAGTTAGATACTTTATTCCTACCGGCTGCTGTGGCTGACTTTTGAAAAGGTGCAATGGGCAGTAATGTGGGGCTTTTTGGTCCACACTCCAAGCTAGCTGGAGGTGGTATTGTGCCACCAGCCGCCAAAACGATGGCAAAGAAGAACAACCTACGCAGGCCCTTCAACATGGGCTGCTAAGTTACTATCTTGGGAGCTTGCGCTTGCTGACAGTACAATGATGACACAGATGAGTGAGTAAAACAAGATGTCTTTGCCAAAAATATGCAAAGTGGTCTATGAAAATCGGACACTTAAAGATGAATAGACAAAATTCGCTCACAGCTGACTAACAAACATTTGCATTCAAGTTTAAAGGGAACCCCAGCTATTAACACATGTTTGCACTAAAATATGCACTGTGCTTTCAATAACATGTATGTGGTATTAAAATACGCCGAACATTTTCCTTTTAAGCACATTTATATAAAACCGATTTACCAGTAGGCCACCATTGTTACTTGCTTCTCAATGCACTCTGGGTAGTGACGTCATATGGTTGCACCGCATCGAGTTCACAGTTAGCAGGGCACTAGAAATGGCTTCTGTTCAACCTTTCCAGGTTGAACCAGAGCAAACCGAGAGAGAGAATGAAAATAGTCAACCAGCACTTAGTTTAGATGAAGATGACGACAATCCATCACACGAGGACGTGAGAGTGAGGGAAAACTACTGGTGTCTATGCGGCTACTGCTTGCAAATGTCATGCCAAACTAGGCACGACATTGGCAAGCATTGCACTGACCTCATTTCAACCAAAGTTTGAAATGCTAGCTGCAGAGATGTCTATGCAAATTTCTCCCACTGAAGTGAAAGCCGGAGGTTTCTTCCTGTTAAAAGGGATTTTTTTTCTTACTCATAAGGGGTCATATGACTGTTGGGTTTTTCTCTGTATGTATTATTGTATGGTCTACCTCACAATATGCCTTGGGGTGACTGTTGCTGTGATTTGGCGCTATATAAATAAGATTGAATTGAACTGAACTTCTTGGGATTTACTTACCTGGATGATTGAGCATTCATCAAGGTACCTCAATATTGGTTTTATGTGCAGTAAATATGGTTTGGATTATTGCATAATTTCATTGTTAAATTGTTTTCTGTTTAATATTGCTACTTGAACTGGATTGCACTTTTCTGTTCAGAAGAAGATTTATTGGGCATATGAATAACTGGTCAGTAGTTACATAAGAAAAATATGTAAGGTTAATAAAATGTTAAATAGAAATGAAAGAAAATGCTTTTGTCGATTCATTTAAAATGTTTGGACCCCAGAATGGATGATGGAGGTAGTAGATTTTAGCTTGGGGACCCCCATCTAGAATTTGACAGTTATATATAATAAATATTATTTGCTTTACTGGGACCACAGTTACTGTCACCCTCCACATCTTCTCAAGCTCTTCTAAGAGTCCTTGGTATTTCTCAAGCTTCTCAGGTTCCTTCTCCCTGATGTTTCTGTCATTTGGTATTGCTATGTCTATCACTATAGCCGTCTTCTTCAGTTTGTCTGCCACCACTATGTCCAGTTGGTTCGTCATTTTGTCTGTCTCTACCTCACCTGAACAGAATCACTGTTTTGGGGTCAACTTGGATGAGTGACTAAATGTTCCCCCTACTGAAAACGATACATTCAGGTTTTTGGGATTCCCTTAACTGGATGATTGACCATGCATCAAGACATAAAACTACAGCAGGTGCACTGGCAGGAATCAACTTTAGATATGAGATTATCCTGAAGTGATCTGCTGCACTGACACCTTCACGGGTGATCTTTTGACGTCATCCATAAGGAGAATGTATGGAAATATCCTGTGAGTGAGAACCACAGCTTTCCTCCGTTCCAGTCCAGATTCACTCTGATCCTCTGGAACCTCTTCTGTAGTATCAAATCAGTTTCTGATGAGTTATATGTTATGGGCCCTCCAATCAAGCATCTCGCATGAGCATGAGATAGAGACCAGACTAGCCCATTCTTCAATGTCCACTCACTGTTAGGATGACCAGGATACTCAGAGTCCTATCCACTTTCAGAGTTTTAGAGACTGCACCGAGCAATCTGTGTCAGACTCCTGATCAAAGCTCACACCTTCTTCAAATGAGTCCTGCAACTTGGTGAGACACAGGGTAAATGACCATCTCTAAAGTCTCTTTTGCATTAAATGTCACTTTATGTATCTCCTTCTCTTTACTCCAAGTGTTTTCCCTTCTCTGGTCTCTAATGAAAAAACGCCTCAGCCAAGCTGCATGCTTATGTTTTGCAGTGAAAGCAGCCAGGTGCATGTACACACTAACATCTGATCAACTGATCCCTGATTGCAATTGACACCCTTTATACTGTTCCAAATGCCTTCAAACGCTTATCGCCGAAGTCAGATGGCAGGTGTAAGTCCCAGCGCTGGATTAATAGCACTTGGCTGGATGCCCGTGGCTACTTTAGCTCACCTCTCACCCCCTTATCCACCCCAGTTGCTTGTCATGTGGTTTATGGTGTTGTAATATGAATGTGTGTTGTGACTTAATGTTAAAAGATGCAAAATTACAAACATACACAATTAACAATTTAATTACTGGTATCTAAAAACAGACAATTTTGATAAAATTAGTCTAAAGTGACTTATGTCTACACCTGGAATGTTTCATACCATTTACTTTTTTTCACATACAATTACATTTTATTCCTGTATTTCCTTTTATGTACAGCAGGACACCTGAACAGTGAATCAGAGAAGATAAGACAACTCTTTATTGCCATTGCACAGTCATACCTAGTACAATACTACAACAAAATTGGAAACTGTCCATCATTGGCAGTGCGCACAACACAAAGCAAGACAACACAACACAGTAACTTAACTTGAAGTGGATTTTTTTTAAGGTGCAAGAAATGTATAAGCAAATTAATGACTTAATAAATTAAAGGAATGAGTGTATTTTTATTGCACATTGTTATCATTATCAGTATTATATTATTATTATTGTTATTATTGCCCCCCAAAAAGTGCAGGTAGGTAGCTGGCTAAGGGCAGAGGAAAGATGAGGTCCCACTCTAACTTTCTGTACATGGTCTGAGCAAAAGTCTATAATCTAGTGGCATGTTGTAGAAGGAAGTCCGATATCCAGCAGTTTTACTATTAGTCTATCCAGGAGTATCTTATTAGAAGTAGAGTAGAGTAAAGTCAACAAAGAGCAGCCTAGTGTAACGCCCGCCATTGTAGCAATGGCGTTTTCAGTTTATCTGTTAGCAAAATATTTTCATTGTCTTTCATTTTATATTATGTAAATGCATATTTTTATGAAAATATATTTTAAAATTAAACAAAAAGAAAAACACTTTTTAAATATACTGTAATCCTTATATGCAGTGTTGGGAAGGTTACTTTTAAAACATATTCCACTACAGATTACAGAATACATGCCCCAAAACGTATTTTACGTATTTTGTAACGTATTCTGAATACTTTGGATTACTTAATATATTATCATGCTTTTTACAACTACTATTACATGAATGTACTATTGCTGTGATTTATTACTGTTACTGAAGGTCTGTGGCTTCGAACCGTAGTAAAGGGACCTCTGGCTAATGCGTCGGGTCCGTGTCGGGCT